TATAAATAGAGAAATGGATGAAGCATTTCACCTTCTATTTAAACCATTTCTGCTGGAAAAAATCCATATCTGCTAGAAAATCCTATATAAGAGACAAAATAAAATAATCGATTTCTCTTTGAATAAATTCCATTTCTCTTTATAAATAGAGAAATGGATGAAGCATTTCACCTGCTAGTTAAACAATGAAAGTGATATGTCGTTTAAAAGCGTTTCTCGCTGACTTTTTGTGGTTTAACGATTTCTGCTTGAAGTGGAACATTTTCTCTTTGAAAGGGGAAAATGGTCCAGCCCTCAGAAATTCAAGTTAGACAATATATACACAAATGCAATCGAGCCTCACATCGTTTAAGTGAGATCCAATAAAAATGACATAAGACATGCAGGTACTTGTTGCCAACAGAGTCTATCGAAATGAGCGCTCTGAAAAAAAAGTCTCATACGAAACCAAAGTGAATTTCTTACGCGGGTATAGGTGTACCAAGTTGCCATGACTCGTGCTCCGATCTTATCTAAGGATCTCATCAGATGATATGATGTGTCTGAATTAAAGGATGTGAGTGAATGTGTCGAGTTATCATTATTTTAACATTTCATTTCAGCAACAAGAATCTTCGGATGATACTCATTTCAATTGAATTGCAAAGAAAATGAATCGAAACAAAGTTAAAACCTATACTGCTGCTAAAGTATTGATAGATCGAGGTCTGAGTGTGGGTGTGAGTGTGTGAAAAAATTGATGCCATCCACAAGACGAATCTGCCTGCTCTACTCAATGTCATCAGGTGGTTACACGATAAATATGTCTTGTGAATAACTTATTAAGGCGATTTACCCCTAAGAAAATCGAATTTTTCAAAAATAGATCGAAGTTGAATTTTTATCACAGAAAGATGCAGCGAAGCTTCTTCTTTCAGAATACGTATGGCTTTTTGGAAAATGACTAGATTTTCAAAGACTTATCACATGAAATGTTGACTCTACTACCATATTTTCGGAGAAAGTTTCGTAGTTTTGAAAGTTTTTCAGTTTTGGAAAAACTGCGTTCCCACTTGCATTATAATTGAACAGAACATTTTTATATTAACCAGCATGTCAGATGGCGTTAGCTACCTTCATCTATTATGTACTTTAAAACGGTCTGCTGGAATATATTAAAAATATATCGTTGTAATATGATTTGTTCTCGATTTGAATGAAAAAATCTATTTCTGAAACTTCTTTAGTGTTTTTCTCAAAACACGGTTTCTAGGCAAGAAAATTGAAATAACTTCCTCTCGAAACGGGATACACCGATGTTTGTTTTTGTTTTAAAGGTCTTAATCAAAGCTAACTTTTCATCGGACAGATTTTTGATACTTGATTCCTAGACTGAGAAATGTAGGATTTACTGTCGTGAAGTAGCATTTTTTTATGCTGATTTTGAACACCATATCCATTCAAATGCTGGTAAAATATGAATGGAAGGAAGTTTCAAAATTCCGCCCGATAAAAAGTTGCGCACAGAGACTAGCTTTAGTTTGAAATCAACCCAAACTCTGTACTCCTTATAATGACGGAGTTATTTCGGTTCTTCTGGAAGATAGGAAAACAAGTCGGAAGTTCAGTCTAGTCCAGGGCTGCCATACGTACCCTATTTTGCCATTTTGCACCTCAAAAAAAGCTGTACTCCTGGGTACACTGTTTGTACCGCATTTGAGTTTTTGAATTTCTACTGTCATAAATTTGTTTATGAATTGAAATAAATTATATTTTTTTTTATAATACTTGTCATATCTCTGCAAAAGCATTCATAATACGCAATACTGATGAAGAATCGATCAATGATTATTATAGCACTTTGGCGTCAAACGCAAGGTGAGGGGTTGTCTTTTAATCCCTTCTCTTGCAATGATTTTTGTTGTTTTGCAACCAAACTCAAATGTTTGCTAGGGGACACTGGGAACTATATAATAGTATAATAATATTAGCAAATCATCAAACTGACTGTATAAAGAGAATAAACAATAGTATATGTGCAAAAAAAGTGTGATATAAGTTTTATCAGGTATTAAAACGTATTTATTCCATACAGACCATGGCTGACCTATCTGGAAAAATGATGTTTTAAGTGGTTAAAAATCACTATAGTCTCTAAGTCCAGAAGTATTATTTGAAAGGTTTCTGTTTATTAAAGGATTATTCGATGTTATATTATGTATCTGTATTACTCTCATCATCTTTGCCTTCATTGTATTGTTTTTCGTCTACTACTTCCTATTTATTTGCATTCATTCTATTATTTGTAGATCCTTCTAACAAAGGATAACGGCTAATTAAAATGTCGTAATATTAGCGAGCATGTGTAATCATTGTTTTGCCTCCTTCCATCTGTGATTAGTACCAAAGCAAAAACCGCTATGGCTTGGATTACGGGCACCAGTGTCAGAATTAAGGTTCATGTTTTTCATAACTAAGCCAATTAGAATGATTAAATAAATTTCTGTTGGCAAATAATAGCTACGCTGTATAAGTATATTATAGAACTGTAAAACTATAATAAACGCTTACCAGAGGAATAAAACAAAACCAGATGAGATAAGAGACATTTATACATCTCCGGACAAAAGTCTTTTCCCCGTTATCTGTTTATGCTGCCATACTTGAATTCAAATTTATTACCGAGTAGAGATATGACATGCTAGTTTTACTACAGTGTGATCTGTACACCATACTGAAATAAAACTCTCATTTTTATCTCTATTCGGTAATAAAATTGAATCAAAGTATGACATCATAAAAAGGTAAAGACTTTTGTCCGAACGTTTACATTATACGAATAATTATTTATATCTATTAACAGCTGTTACTCTTTAAAATAATGTTAATTATAGCTGGTAGCAGTCTCTCGATAACCATATTCACAATATACAGTAACTGTTTTATGTTTCTTGCTTATAGAAAAATACGAAAAAGTAAAAATCATCAAAACTGAAAAAAAAAGTTTTCATCTTGAATTTGACGTCAAAGTACTATAGTTGATTTCAATATTTATTATGTCTTAATGAATAATGTTATATCGTTTATTTTTATAGTACTTAGATTTGTTTCCAAAAAGTTATGATTAAACTGAGAGTATTTTATTGTGTTAGAAAATCAATAATGAAATTGATTTCTAAAAAAGAAAAATTGAATATTATGTTGTTTCATAGAAAAGCAGTTTCTTTTAACAGTGTTTCCACATTAACTCTTCTATTTCAATAAAGAGTTATGTACCTCAATGACGTACCCCACTGTAAAAAAAATGTACCCCAAGAGTACCCCATTTGAAATCTGGTGCACCCCATTTGAAAATTAAGATATAGCAGCCCTGGCACCATTGTAACCAATGTATTAATTTATGCTAGGAAACGGAAAAGTGAAACTAACTTGCGAAAAATGATCAAAATCAGTGAAGAATTGCTGAAAATTGAAAAAACCGAAAAAATACCTTTCTCACGCACACAGTCAGCCGAAAAAAGGAACAAAAAACAGGAAAAAAAACATTTAATGAATTCTGATCGTTTCTATTCCTATATGACTACTTAGTCAGATAGAGTAATATTATAGTCAGATGCTACGCAAATAGAATAGTCTATTTTTCTAATGTTTTCCCGTTTTCTAATGCATGCATAAGCAATTGCACAGCAATCTCTATGAACAATTGGACGTTTCGTTTCTTTTTTACTCTTTCAAGTCATATTCAACCTATATTGATAACGTACGAGTTTTGTCGGATTTATAGTACTATTGTGCCAATGAGTATTAGTTTTTCTTCGGACGAAACTGTATGCCTCTTTTTCTCCTCTTTTTTTTATTAAAAATTCTCTTTTTCCCAAGAACGATGAGCCTCTTTTTTCCTCTTTTTTTACAAGGTGTTGGTGGAATGCCAGGATATGTTAGGGTGTGGGTGTGGGTGGGTTATGGGTGCGGGTGTGGGTGAAACAACGATTCTCACCAACATCAACACCTACATCCACATCCACACCCACACACCCACATCCACACCCACCACACCCACATCCTTGACTAGAGACCAG